ATCCAGCCCAAACCCCCCACCCCCAGTCCTAACCCTGATACTCCTAACCCTAGCCCTGACACTCACAACCCTAACACCCAGCTCTCCTATGTTGGCTCGTCCCGCTTGTACTGGTTAAATGCCAAGTGGGCCTTCTGTACCATAGAACCACAGAACTCTAGAGCGCAGAATAAGGCCCTTTGGCCCGTCTTGTCGGTGGCTGACGCTTTTAAAGAGCAACCCTTTCAGTCCAATCTACCTGCCTTTTCCCCCGTGTACTTTACTTTGGATATCTGTAGGAGAACTTTACCTTTGCACGCAAAGACATCAAGATAAAAGGCAGAAGAGAAGGATTGTCATCACTCCGGGGGGGGGGGGGGAGTGTTTACTTCTTCCAGCTAACCGCTTCCTGAGCATTAAGCAAATTGAAAATTACACAAATGGATACAGAACAATAACTCCATACAGTTTTCCGCCCAAGATTGCCCTGAGGTTAGTGACAAAGCAAACATGGTGGCATTGGTTCCTATGTTCTAAAAATAACATCTTCCGAGCATCAAGTGATCGGGCAACAACTTCTCTAAGTGAGAAAGAATTCTTAAAATGGGCACCTCATTGAGGAGGAAAAAAAACAGTGGGGCAGTAATTTATAGAAAATACAGAATTGACAAAAAAAAACACAACTTTTCACAAGTGTAATAAATTGCCAGTCTGCGAGGACCCAAACACGATTTGCATTAATCCACAATGCATTTTGCACCTAACACACATGTAAAACTCGCTGAGAACATAACATCTTCTGTTCTCCGCCCCCATTAACTAAGTGTAGGTGGTGAATGATGGACGAGATCAAGGGCTGATCATCACCCTGATCAAACACCCTGCCCCAACGCTTTCCCTTGGAATTTTAGCCAAACATAGGCGTTCGCTGCACAATTTGTAGCCTTGATAGTAAAAAAAAAATGAAACTGCGAGAAGGGCACCTCTTTGTGAGCGGAAATCAAAACCATAAATTGATCTGAAGTATGCAAATCCATTGCAGGTGGGTCCCTGACCTTTGCATGACTTCTAACATCCCTTCATCCCAAAGCTATCCCAAGATTCGCCACTGTCCTAGTATAACAGCTGCATAGACTCGCGGCAGCAGCATACGAATATGAAGCCTGTATGTGCAGCATTTGTCACAGAAATGGCCACTTTGCATAACGGCATGAGTCACATACATAGTCTTTGTACCTGATTTTACATCTGTGCCCAACGAGGGAAAAATTACGACTATCATGCCACAAATTTGAAACTATGTTAACCCATTCATTGTAATATTAATTGTAAATTGTGCTGTGTTTTATCGCCCGCCAGAAACAGCTCTGTCTTTTCATGTTCGAACGAACGGTTTTCATTTGGACAGAAAGTACTAAGCAGATTATTGTTTGTTGTTCGAAACGAGTTCCATCGCTTTTGCACAAAATCTTCCTTTTAAAATGTTTCTCGCTGTTCACTGAATTGAGTCGGTAAAGCCGCATCTGTCTTACCACTGGCAGCAAAGTCAAGAGGCATGAGGCTTTTTGTAAGTTCTACAATCCCCAAAGACTTTTTATTACTTTGCATACTGTGAAATGTCACCTTTTGAGCAAGCTGTTGCAATGTTTTCTATGCGCCAAAATGTGAAACCTCAAAGGACATGAATTAATCCACTGTTCTCAGTGACAGCTTTTTAAAGGCATAGGAAGCCTCAGGCATATCTCACACACACACACACACACACACACACACACACACAAACATATATACACACACAGTGAAATACAGAACAGAAATGGTGGTGGTGGTGGTAGTTGCCGAAAACTTTTTTTTGAATATCAGGAATAAAACGTTACTGTATTTCTGTGAACGTGCCAGGGCAGCAATGATATTTTATGGGATGTTCATCTGAAGATCGCAAAGAGTGATCTGAATGGATTTCAAACAGTATCTCGTGACTGTATTGGAGTTCTTTAAGCAGGGAAATGAATTGATGGACGATGGCTCTCTGGGGGATAAATTCCTCTGGGATTTTCAGAAGGTGTTTAAAAAAGTTCTGCCCGTGAGGCTTCCTTCCATGAAAAATAAATTCCATAGAATTATTGATGAACTATGGCAATAATTGCTTTGACAATCGGAATCTGTTGTTAATTGTTCAATCTAACATTGGGTTATTGATTCTAGGATTCCCCACAGAGGATTACTGAATTGGGCTCAGTTAATATAATGTGATCTTTGGAGGTGAGTACCAACAGAAATGGCCACTTTGCATAAAGGCATTAGTCACATAGGCTTTGTACCTGATTTTACATCTGCATTGCATCCTGATCTGTTACAATGACAGCCAAACCAGAAGTAAAATTTTAAGAGTAGGCTTATTTTGTGGATAAAAAAAAATTGAATGTTTGGATTAATTCAGATCACTAGGGACTCGGGTTGATATATTCCTTTATAAAATGATGGCTCGCATGCATAGCGGCACACAATGTCCATCTGCGATTATGCAACACTCTCCCATTGGCAAAGAGACTGGGTGCCTGCTGCTGGTGGTGGGGATGGCAGTCCCGGGAAGAAGACTACATATACTGATTTACGATTGTGTTTGTTTTGTGACTTATCTGGTTTTGTACGGAAGGCAACAATCTCATTGCTGGCACACTGCACTGATGAATTGCATATCTGTTTTTCTCCCCCCCGTCGTGGTCTAAAAGGCTGATCAGTTTGACGAAAGTAGTGTTCGCATCTGATCCCTCATTGTATTCAGGGGAATATGCTTCATTTTTCCCCTTGCAGTAGAGTGTACTGCTACATCCACGTTCTCTGGAGACTCTCGTGCCGGCTGACAGCATTCAGACTTGGCTTTGAGAACACTTGCGATTTCCAACCTCTAAAGCCAAGTCCTTAAAAAGCTGAATTTTCCTCCCTACTGATTCTCTTGGCAATGTGCCCTCCTGCATACTCAGGAGTCCAACCTGCAGTGACAGGAGGCCTTGCGATTGATAAGGTAAATATCCAATTGCGGGTAGAACCACAAAATCAATCACGTATCTCGCAGCGGTTAGTGCGAGCGAACATCAGCCGGAAAATACTTTGGAATCCATGAGGAAATAGAGTTTGATTCAATGCGGCGATGGAGGTAATTCTGGAGTTAAAGATGGTACCCGTTTGGCTCTAGCTTCAGCCTGCCCATGGACGTGAGCTTCTGCAGCAATGAGGCTTGTGTGCACATGGCTGAAAATCTCCAATATTGCAGAGAAAAACAATGTCCATCCCCAAGCTGTCCAACATTTTTCAGTCGCACCGTTTTCTGCCAAATGTTCGTATTACCATCTAAAAGCACTTCAAATGCACTCAATAGAAATACAATGTCATGCCTGCCAGCTCCAAACATTCCCTTTAAGGAGGGAGTGACCCCTCTTTATACATGACACCCAAACATGTACGGCTAAATGCTGCACGTTATAACTTATAAACACATTGATAAAATGTAAAATAAAAGTACATTTGAAATCTGGACATACACTTTAAGAATCAATCAATTGTAACATGATAATTGAATTTGCCAATAATTTCTCTGGGTCTCTTTGGTAATTTCCTCCTCAAAACACTGACTGTTGCTTGGGTGCAGTTCCCCACCCACTCCGCCACCCCCCCCCCCATGCAAAATCTCCTCCTACCCCAGGACTTGGTCCAGTTTAGCTGGTCTCAGATGGACTGTAAATTGCAGCTAATGTGCCTGGATCGGGGGGGGAGGTGCAAGGTCGGAATTACTGACGCTGGATCCAGTAACCCACTCACCCACCCACCTCGAAGCTGGAAAGTGCTATATGGGAGCATCGGATGAGATCAACATAGCGTCAGGCTTGGCTGCGATGACTCCCATGGTCAAATAATCTGCCAACCTTCACTGTCCCGCATGAAGAATGCCCACTGGGGTGAGGTTGAGATGGCATCCAGTGGCACTGAAACTTTTATCCCAGTGTAACTCAGGAGAGGAGGAATAATCTTTTTTTAAAAAAATATACATATATATTGATTGATTTCAAAGAATTATTAACACACACAATATCTTGCTTTTCAGATCAGGTCTTCTTATGTATGACTCTGGTTTGAGGTTAGGGTTAGGTATTTGAAATTGGCAAATTTTGCAAATTAGTAACTATTAAATTCAAGCCAGGGAAACAGACTAAAGTGGGTGGCATTACGGACCGGGCCACTGACCGGTAAGCAATCTGTATCTATAGGGTGAAGTGGATATAATATCAGTTCCTATGCTGCAGCTTTAAACCTCAAGGCAATTAATTTAATTAAACCAGATCCAATTAACTCAAACCAGGCTCTCTGGAACTTCATCCCAGAGTTCCTCCGACTCATCCCTTCCCTCCTCACTTTCGAAGCTGCCTTAAAAGACTTAACGCTTTGGCCACATTTCCAGTCACCTCCTCACACTCCCCTCCCTCGTTCAAATTCCAGCCAGCTGTGTGAAACACATCAAGATGGCCTCTCGACTTAGAGGAACAGTGTAAATTGTGTTAATTATACCCACCTAAACTGGAGTGTACAGCAACCAAAATAATCTGAGCATTGGTATCAAGGAAAATGGCTTGCCTGCTCCTCTATTAGATATTTTTTTCCTCTAACTTCAGCCTTTACAGATTATTAAAATAAAATAAAGTGAATGCTGATCTTGAATCGATTGCAAGATTTTCAATCAATTGCTAGATAGACTGGCAACAGTGACTGGCATTTCCTTCATCATCTCAGGATTCATTAAGGCCTGATCCCAACGCAGAGAGAGAAACATCCTTACTGTTGCCACTCTCAGCCGTGGCCCATCTGGTGTTGAGATCGGCAAACATTAGGTGCAGAATTTATTCTGGGTTCTTGTTCATTGAACCGACACTGAGATTGGCAGGGACCAATTCCTCTTGTAACCCTTAACAACCAGCAGCAGGGATTGCTGTACAAAGGCTCTGCAAAAAAGGGATTGGAGAACTCACCTCCCACAAGATAAGCCTCAAGAGTTGCACTGCATCTTGCAATTTCAACGGTGGAGTCTATCGCATTCACCACCATGTCCTTAACTGGAAGGGCTTTTCCTCTGGACGTAGCCTTCAATAAATTGCAGTCGAGCCTCTCAAAGCAAATATGGAAAGATTTTCCAACAAACAGTGGATTCGTTAACAGATTGTTGTGAAAGTGCATCTCTAGGGAAGTAGAGGAAAAAAGAAGGCAAACACTTAGCAAAAGGTGGTAGTTCATTTTGGTTTTTGAGGTCGTCGGTGCAAAAAAAAAAGGCATTGGCCTTTTCTTTTGAGGCAGTGGGTTCAAACGTAACTGTGGGTTGCACGCATAGTCTAGAGACAGTCACTCCAAATGGTGGAGCACTGGGGTTATTGTCAGATTGGATGAGACATTAAATCGAAGCCCCATCTGCCTGTTCGGGTGGATGTTAAAGATCCCATGGCACTGTTTCGAAATGTGAAAGGAATTTCTCCTGGTGTCTTCTCCAACAATCCTCCAGATAAAATTGGTCATGGACTTCATGGCTGTTTGTGGTCCATTTCTGGGCTCAAATTGCCTACCACGTTCACCTACAAATACAGTCCCTAAATTTAGCAGACCATTTGAGATTCTTGGCGCTATATCCAATGCAAGGCTTATCATCATTCTTTCAGTGACATTGGGTGATATGTCAATGCAGAAGGTTTTATTTTGATCAGCTGGATGTCTGATACAGGCAGAAACCTTTCACCATTCTTAAAGAGTTTCCAAACAGTGGTTTAAACATTCTTATTGTTCAATATATTCCAAAGATTACAGGAAATGTAATACATTTTTAAAAAATTAAATAATATTTATTTTAAAAAGTAAATGTAAAAAATTAGCAAATGTAAAATTACAGTAAATGTAAAAATGTAAATGTGTGTTTTGGGGCTATCAGGATGAAAGATCATAAGGTGCTGTAAAATATTGAGAGAACCCAGTTCACGCAAACCCACATCAAATGTAATAATACTCCTTACATTTGACACAGCATCTTTCATGTCAGGAGGACATCCCAAATGATTCACACATTATACTGTAAGCTACAGTGACTGTGTGCTTTGTAGATGAACGCAGCAGCCAATTTGTGCACAGCGATGTCTCACAGACAGCCATGGATTGAGTGACTACATGTTATTTGGGGATTGTTGGCCAGGACCCCGGGAGAAAGAAACGCCCTTCTCTTTTCAAATAGTGCCGTGGGATCTTAAAAGTCCATATATATATATATATATATATATATATCCAAGTTGTTGTTGTTGTTGTTGTTGTAGACCGGGACTCAGTTTAACGTCTCATCCGAAGCATGCAATGTACAAATGTACAGATAAACTCCCCTACTGTAACTTAGTAACGTGACAAGCCCCAAATAGAGAAGAGCACATCTACGATGTCAGTTTGGACATTCTTATTCCTCACACTTACAGGCATTGTCAGAATTAAAATGTTAATGGATTGCCTTTTGGGAGGAGGGCGGTGGGGGGGGGGGGTGGCATGTTTGTGCTATGCACCTAGTCAGTAGATTGTAATGGGATTGGCATTGTTGACCCCGTTGCACTCAAAACTTAACTTGCCAACCTCATTACACACAGGACGCCAACAACAAGGAGACTTTCATCCCCATCATTCTGGGCCGATTTCCAAATCCAGATCCCAGAGGTGGCAGGACAGTGTGCTATAAACACTGCACCACTCAATCATTCACCGCAGATTATTTACTATGTTTCAGCAACTACCTGGGCAAAGGCAAAGAAACCACTGCCAATAATTCCTAGCACTTACTCCAGCATTACCCTGGTTAATAATTCATCTCCTTCTTCTGCATTGTCATTAATTACTCTAGGGCCACTTTGTTTAAGAACCAAAACTTCTAAAGTACAGCGCTGCGTGTTTGTAAATTTTAAAAAAAAGTGTTTGGATTAGGTACAATTACAGTAATCGCACCGGTACCCAACCAAGCAAGGCACCAGGGTGAAATTATATAGCGGATTCATTTATTCTCACTTCAAACAGACAATTAAGATGTTCTCACATTTGGAGGTTGGTGTGGGTCTGAGGGTTCTGATTGGGTAATTAATAGCGTTCTTTCCAAGACCACGGAGGCAGAAGTTTACCTTGGAGTGTTTGTCTTATTGATTCTGTGCTTATAGCAGGCCGGCTGCATTTGTCCAATTCCAACACAGTGACATGAACGCCGGGATCCCAGTGGTTATGTTTAATCATCATTCCCAGTGGAGTGTCATGGGGCAGATGCCAGTACGGTGATGCAAACACCTGTGCAGCGTCATGTCACCGAGAGGGAGAATGAGGCAGAGTGGTAATAATAATAATAATAATCCCTGCATTTGATATAGCGCTTTTCACATCTTCTTGACGTCTCAAAGCGCTTCACAGAATAGTCTGTAAAGTGAATTGACTGTATATTTGTGGGCGAAACGCGGCAACCAATTGCGCACAGCAGCGTCCCCAAAAAGGCCGTGGGTTGGTGACCAATTTATTATTGTTTTTTTTTCTGGAGGGATTATTAGTCGATTGGCGGATCACATTCTGGGGGTAATAATCCCTCAAAAAAATCACTCAATCCACAACTGTTTGTGGAGACGCTGCTGTGCGCAATCGGCTGCCACGTTTTGCCCACAAAATACACAGGGAATCCACTTTACAGTATATTCTGTGAAGCGCTTTGAGACATCCTAACGACATAAGGTGCTATATCAAATGCAAGGATTATTATTATTATAACACAAACTAGCATGACTTGGACAGGGTTAAGTACGTGGTTTACATAGGATTGTTCTGTAGCAATCAACTGCCATGGAAAAGAGTCTGTAAATGGATCAATAGGAATCCACTAATTCAGTTGTTCCGCATTCAAATGAGTCCAAGGATAGAGTTTCAGTCTTTGTTGCTCAGTAAAATGATTGGGGCTGTTTAAAACAGAGATAAATCGCCCACCGCCACATTAGTTTCTGGATTCGTAAAAGTTTCGGAATGAAGACACGCTCCTTTGGCCCATTTGAATTCCAGAATACCAACTCCGCACGTTTCTCATTCCAGCACTCTGGCCTTCCTGCAACCCATTCCAGTTGTTGATTGCCCTCTGAATAAAGATGCACTTTCTAGGGCCTGTCCTAATCTTGTCCTCAACCTTGTAACCTTTGTTCTGCCTACAATGGGAGTCTGGATTATAAAAGGCGAGTACTCTGTGCAAATCTCGAGAGTGCTCCGAGAGGTTTCCGGTGCAGAATTAAAATTGGAATATATTTCCTTTAAGAAATAGCAAGTGGATACAATGGGAGCAACATTACCCACTCGGGTTTACTGCGCTAATTGCCACTTCCGGTTTGAGAATTTCACCTTGCAAGTCTTGCAACGACCTGCAAATCCTAAATCAGCAATGTCTGTCAACAGAGCAGCAAACAACAGCGGGTGTAGTTTAGGCATCAAGCTGTGACTGTTGCAGAAACGTTTTGTTTGAAAAATTGGCATTTGCAGCATCATTTGAGTTCATTATCTCTCCCGTAAATCGATTAAATTGGTTATACTTGTAAAATGACGCTGTTAAACTGAAAGTGGAATATAGGTGCGGCGAAGAGAACTCAACATCTAGACGCATCCAAATAATTCAGAGGTAATTTGTTAACACTCAGACTACCTGCCCATTATTATTTACCCATTCACCTGAGATCCGATACGATTAATTGGCCTATGTGACATTTAAATGAAGATAACAACAGACTTAACGCGTGTTTAAATTAAAACAAAGCCATTCACTTTTGTGTGGTTTACATTTGCCCTTAAATAAAACACTGCTGAATTACACTCTCTCCCAGGAAGTAACACATATGGCTTTCATGTACAACACATGGTTTTCAAACTCGCGTTCTTTCATGTATGACACATGTGGCTTCTGTGCAACACACAAGAAGGTCCATTATTCCAATGTTATTTGATGAGGGCTATATAAAAACACACGTGCTGGTGAATAACAGCATTGGGGGGTGGAAACAATTGAAAGATGTAAACCCAAATCCCAGGAACAGTGTAGTAAGTGAAATAGTTTCCTTTTTGGAAATAAAACCCCCGACTTCTTGTCTTAACCAGAACAACTCACAAATTGCAAACGCTCGAATCATCCTTACCTGCCCCTGCATTAAAAAAAACGTCCTAAACTGCTCTTAGATTAGAATGGTCTTCGCTGTCCGCTACAGTGCAAACACATCTCAATCCTCAATGCTTAATTAATGGCTGAGACTGCACCTACTGCAGTCACGAGAGCTTACCGTGTGCTAGTACAGGATTTCTACCCTCGTGCGAGACTTGTGCGAGCGATTACAACAACAACTTGGATTTATAAAGCGCCCTCCACGCCGGACGGCGTCTCAGAGCGCTTTAATTCACAGAATGTTTGAACAGGATTGGGTTGCAATCTGTACAGAGCCATCGCTTTTTATATTGAGAAAAGTGACTCACTCGAGTGAAAAGGTCATGTGCAGATTACTGTATCTTGTGCAACTTGTGGATGACGATGTTTCTTTTTAACAACTAGTTTTTGCAGAAATTGTTAAGTAAACAACAGGCACAATACAATAAGCAAATCTCACTTTTCTTTCTCGTCTGAAGTGACTGGTTCCCGTGGTTCCACAGAAACACTTGGTCTCAGCACGTTGGGCCAGCGAGAGGAGAGGGAGATGAAGGAAAAGGGAGAAAGGGAAAGTTAGCATTTAAGTGTCGGCGAACCGGGAAATAAAGGCAGGTTGTTTTGATAAATATTTAATTTCACGATGGGATCAAATGCTTCCTTCGCTTCAATAATGTCCTCAACAAAGTGAGTCATCCTGGCTCAGTCGGTAGCACCCTCGCTTCCGAGTCGGAAGGTTGTGAGGACCAGCTCTTATGTCGGAACTTATATAGTCTAACCTGACGTTCCCATTGCAGTGCTGGGGGTGTGCTGCATTATAATGGTGGTGTCCTTACACCAAGGTCCCATCTGCCTGTTTAAGTTCACATTAAAGATCCCAAAGCCCTATTCAAAAAGAGGAGGGAGTTTCTCCCAGCAATCTCCCAAATGACATTGCTGTGTGCAAAATAGCCATCATGTCGGTTTACAAAATGCAGTCACTCCACTTTACAGTATTGTGTGAAGTGAAACAAGGGGTCCTCCTAACATCATAACCACTATATCAAATGCAAGGATTATTATTAATTAATATATCCTGTAATGCGCCTTGAGATGTCCTCCTGATGTGAAAGCCAACTCTATTAATTCTAAGGATTATTTTTAATTATTATTATTGTAAGAAGGAGGGATTTCCTATTCTCCAACAATTTAAACTGCTGAATCAGGTGCTATTATCTTTACTGTGGCCTGGGATGAGCCAGGCTGACTTGACCTCCACGCACTTGTGATCATGATCACCAAGAATGTGTTCATCCCTAAATTGGTAAACTCCTTCACGATGCCTGGGATCATCCATCCTGAAAACAATGTAGAAATATGATCGGTGATTTACAATGCATTGTTGATCGGGGATGCATCCTTTGAAACTATACAATGGAAATAAATGGCTTTGTTTATATAAAAAAAACACCTCTTCATTGTAGGTAAAGTGTAAACTTTTTTATTTAGTCAGTTCGAATCTGCATCCTGTAATTAATTGGTTCATGATACGAATAGTAATTAGTAACAAAAGGAAGCAGAAATTATCCTTGTTAAGAGACAGTTGTAAAGTAATATGATATAGCACCACAAACTATCTTCTAGAAATAAATAAGAGTTGTGTACATCACGGGTACAGGTTTAATTGCTCGTTATTTTTTCTCCTTTGCCATACCTAACTTATATACATGTATCTACAGAATGTATTGTTATTCACGAATTTATAACGTGTTCCAAGCTCAGCACCGGATGTGCTTATAACTTACAGTCTCAATCGTAGTGAAATAACCCTTTTTTTAAAAAAAAATTCAAGTTGTTCCTTCCGGCTGATAACACCATTTCACAGTTCACTCCACGGGTGGCTCAGGCCCAACTGAAACATCTGGGATCTGGCAATGTGGCTCACCCCCTCCCCCCTCCACACACTCAAGTGCAATGCTGGTTAGTGCAGCAATGGTGACATCTGTAGATCCTCTGTAAAGTTTTTTTTACCTCGCCTCTTTGGCCCAGTCCATTCTGCAGAAGAACGGGTGCGATTTGATATCTTCAACCCCCGACACGCCAGCACCGAGCCTTTCGCTGGGGTTATATTGCAAAAGCTGCAGAAGAAAAGATAAAACACTGCGGCTTATTACACACTCGCCTCGAATCTTACGCCAGGTTCACTCCGAATTTATAAGTTGATTCTGACCCAAACAGTCAGAAATTCGTTTTGCTCAAATTGTGCTTTTAACTCGATCTCTGGAAATATTAACATTGCTGAACACTGCATTGGCTCGTCTAACAATCTTTACATTTGATGGTCGGGTCTTTAATATTGAAACTACCCAAAGTACTTCATAAGTGAGGGCTGTAGGGCTGTGACTGTGTAATTATAGGCAAACACAGCAACAAAGAGGCAGGAGTCACATCCACTCACTTACCCACCTCTGGTGCTAACGCAGTGCCTCTCAAACACAGGGTTAGGACTTGGAACCCATATAGTCTGTGCTGACACTCCAATGCAGCACTGGGCATGCGCTGAGTGTCGGAGGTGCCGACCTTCGGATTAAATGTTAAACTGAGGACTTCTCCACTGTCCCAGTTTGTTTGTTTAAAGATCCCGTAACACTGTTCAAAACGAGAAGGAAACTTGCCCTGGTGTCCCAGTCAACAATCCCCCCAAATAAAAATTCATCGTTCACTCCATGGGTGTATGGGGGGATGTCGCTCTGTGCAAATTAGCTACCGTATTCACCCACAAAGTTAGCCCACAAAGTCAATACATTCTGGTGAAATGCTTTGATATGTCTTGATGTCATGATAAGGTGCTACATCAAATGCAAGGATTATTATTTACTGTACCTACATCTGATTTTAATGTCATCTTATGCTACTCTTGGTGTCACTCATTTTAAGGCAGACTCGGTCTTCCCCTCATTTTCAATCACCACCAAATGTACTTGTCCTCCAAATCTATTTCTTCTCAGCCCTCTAAACATTTGAAGCCAAGTTGTACAAAACTCCTGTTCATTCTCAACTCACTACTTGCTGTATATTGTACTCAATTTTCTAAACAAAATCATTAGCACTGAACTCAAGTATAACAACACTCAATTGTGTGCACAGCAGTAATTGCTCTATGTTGCCAGAAGTAACTTGCAAGACAGGAAGCACGTAAATAAGGAAAAGCTCTAACAGAAATTAAAAGCCACAAAAACAAAACTGAACCAAATCCAAACAGGTGCAAACGTGTGACACGTCTCATAACCAGAAACATAATTCAGTAATAAGTAGCCTTGGGACATCCTCCCGACGTGAATGGCGCTATACAAATGTGATTTTGTATTGTATTTGTAAGTAAGGAATTAATTACACATCCAGAATTTTATTTTATACTCTTTAACAATCCCTTAAGACTGTATTGATATGACCAAGCACAATTTTTTTTTTGCTCTTGTAAATTAATCCTTAACCAGCACGGGATACAATCTATCGTGTCAGCCGAGAATGTCTTATTTGCCCATTATCTGAAACAGCTCTAACTCAATTTATGCTGTGTAATGTGCTATGCTGAGAGGCGCAGGAATCCCATTTCACTTATTCAGCAACAGAAAATTACTCCGTGTTTCACCAAAAATGAAAACAGCCTCATTTCAAATATATGACACTGCTTGTCTGTAGTTGAGATATGGAAAACCTTTACTTGTAGGAAACCTTCCCCTGAAATTAACTTGTCTTCTCTGGGTTCAACAAGAACATTATACCAAATCATTAGGAGCCACTGAACTTTGTCTAACAAACAAAAGATGGACAATATGTCCGTGGTTCACCTCCGTAGGCTTAGAAAGAGGTAATGGGATGATGCAAACAAAACAACAACAAATGAGTAAATCTGAACACAAGTAAAGATCCCACCACAGACGCAACCCAAGTACCGCATTTACCAGTAACGATTCATCAGTATGTGTCCTTCTAAATAGTGTTTCAATTGAAGAGAAATTTCTTATTAAGGAATCCTATTGTGAAATGCTTAAAACTGGACCCTCATATTGTGACCAAACAAATTGTTCCCAGTTGTATTTTGTCGAAGGTCAGTATGTTACCTGCTGAACCAGTGATTTGGCTTCCTCCGACATGTGATCTGGCATGTTTAGGGATGTGTGGGTATTTATCCCAGCTGGATGGCACTGAAACAGAGGCTGAAACAAACGAATCAGTCAGTACCACGGAATACCATCAAAATGTACTTTAAACATTCAAACCTACCCTGCTGCCGAGCTGCCACACTCACCTTCCCCGTCAGGAGTTCAAACAGAATTGCACCGAGACTCCACCAGTCACAAGCTTCCGTTTCCTCCGCTATCCCACCGACCTCTAGATGTAGAACATTAAACCATGTGGTCAAAACAGTTCGGTCACAATTATTTTTAAAATAACCATAAAAAGCTTAATAATAATTCCTGTATTTGATACAGGTACTTTCAATGACAGGAGAATGCCTTGAAGCCCTTCACAAAACCCACTGCAAAGTCTAGTGACTGTATTTTGTAGGCAAAGTTATGACAAGTCAATACCAGGGCCAGCACTGAAATTCGTCCTGAAAGATATGAGAAACCCTACTAAATACACAGCAGAGAAATAACCTGGATGTGTTGTACACCAGAGCATGACTCGCATATTAACGTGGATTGGGGAATGGTTAACGGGTAGGAAACAAAGAGTAGGGATAAACGGGTCCTTTTCGGATTGGCGGGATGTGACTAGTGGAGAGCTACAAGGATAAGTCCTTGGGCCTCAGCTATTTACCATCTACATCAACGATCTTGATGAGGACATCAAAGTTAATATATCTAAATTCACGGATGACACAAACCTAAGAGGAAGTGTCAACACAGAGGACGACATTAAAAAAATGTAGCGCGACATAGATAGGTTAGGTGATTGGGCAGGTAGGTGGCAGATAAAGTATAATGTAAGGAAGTGCAAAGTCATCCACCTGGGGAGCAAGAACAGTAGAGCGGGTTATTTTTTAGAAGGGGAGAGATTGGAATGTGTTAGCGTCCAGAGGGACTCGGGTGTCCTTGTACACCAATCACAGAAAGTTAGTCTGCAGGTGCAGCAGCAATTAGGAAGGCGAACGGTATGTTAGCATTCATTATGAAAGGATTAGAGTATAAGAGTAGGGAAGTCTTGCTGCAACTGTATAGGGCCCTGGTGAGACCACACCTGGAATACTGTGTGCAGTTTTGGTCTCCTTATTTAAGGAAGGATGTACTTGCCTTGGAAGGGGTGCAGCGTAGATTTACTCGGTTAGTACCAGGGATGAAGGGGATGAGTTACGAGGATAGGCTGACCAATTTGGGCCTATATTCTCTAGAATATAGAAGAATTAGAGGGGATCTTATAGAAACCTATAAGATCATCAAAGGGCATGATAGAGTAGATAGTGGGAGATTGTTTCCCCTGGTTGGAGAAACTAAAACCAGGGGTCACAGCCTTAAAATCAGAGGCAGCCTTTTCGCACTGAGTTAAGGAAGAACTTCTTCACTCAAAGGGCGGTGAATGTATGGAACTCACCTTTGGGGTACCAAAGGGCTGTTGACGCTCAGTCCTTGAACATATTCAAGACTGAGATAGATTTCTTATTGCAAAAGGGATTAAGGGATATGGGGATAAGGCAGGGTCAGGTTATTAGCTGGAGTTAGATTAGAAGATCAGCCATGATTGAATGGCGGGCAGGCTCGAGGGGCCGAATGGCCTACTCCTGCTCCTACATGTTATATTATGTTATGTTAGTACGTCTTTGCTTTAGTTCCACAATATTAGAGCTGACAGGAGAATTCAGGGACTTGTAAGTGACCAGAACAAGGTCACCTGCTTTACACAAAGTCAAACTTGCTCAAGCACATCTCTTATCTTGACAGGGAAGCATTCAAACTCCACAGAGTTTATTCTAAGAAGAATAAGCGGAAACACTGTACACATCCTGTAAAACACAAAAGAATTTCTCCCCTCAAAGGGTAAGGGTAGAGGCCAATACGGTTTGTACTACATGAAAGGTCTTGTACAACGAAAAGCAAAAATGTCAGGAATCAGTTTGTGAATTCTATTTTGATGGTGAGGGGGGAGGCAGATGGAATGAATGCCAACCACACTGGCCTTTCAAGCCTGGGACCGTGGACTTTGAAGCTGCTCAGTTTGAGCTGAGAGAAGTCTTCCCCAACCCGCTCCGTATCCAAACATAATGAGTTAAGGAAGTCCAAACCCAGCATCAGTGCAGCGTAAAATGTCCCTTCATTTAGTCCCTTCACTGGAAGGCGCTCTTTCTTACAGGATGGCTGGTGCGGAAACTGAAACATCTGCAGTCATAGGGTGGAGGAAGCATTGGGAGTTGTTAAAGAGAGGTGAGAGTTTTTTCTGAAGCACAATCTCAGGCAGAGAGCGCTTGGTGCTAACACTGGGTGCCCCAAATGGTAAAGTGTTTCCACTTCACCAGATCCAACACCCATCGTGCGGGAAAACATGCATGTGCGCCCCACTACCGATGGATCGGCAAAGTAAACCCACTCCAGGTACATGTGGAGTCCTGTAGCTCAGTGGTTAGAGCACTCGCTTTGCAAGCGAGAGGACCTGGGTTCGATTCCCTGGTAGGGCGAAGCGTTGGGCAAGTTTCCTTACTCCACCCACACTCTCTGTTTAACCAGCAGTAAGTAGGAACCTGGTTGTTAGTCGATTTGCCGATCCCTTTTCCAAGGGTTATAATTCCTTCAAAAAGTAAACAAATTGGCCACTCAATCCACGACTGTTTGTGGGGACGCTGCTGTGCAGATTTGGCTGCCCCGTTTTGCCCACAAAATATAATCAATTCACTTTACAGTATATCCTGTGAAGCACTTTGAGACGTCTGGAAGGCTTGATAAGGTGTTGTATCAAATGCAAGGATTATTATTATTATTATTACAGTGAAACTAACACACAACAAACCAAGTTCACCCACGGATCATCCTGAAATTCGTAGAAGTGAAAGGGTTAAGTAAGTAGATACGGTCTCACTACTGAAGTGCTTTGCCTTCAAAAGGTGATTTTCATACCAAAACGAAAGCTTGAATACGAGCCAAACAAATTCTATGTCAGGCACTGAAAGAGGAAGGTTCGCTCAGATGCCTCGCTGGGCAGGTTCCTTGTTTCAGATGAAGGAGTTCCACCTGTACTTGAAGAAAAATGTTCTCGTGCAAAGGAAGAAACTACGCACTTCCCATTAAGACACCGATGCTTCCCCAAATTTGTCCCTATCCATCAAGTCATGTGAAAGACCAAAAGAGATCTTCTTTATTTCTTTTGCATTATAATAAATCCAGAAAGTGATCGTTCACTGCATGGCTGTTTGTGGGGCACTCCTGTGAGCAAATCTGCCACCATGTTCACCTACACAAAACATATAAGGCCAATACACGATACAGTGAATCCCGTGAAGTGCTATGAGACGTCCTCTCGACTGAAAAAGCACCACGTCAAACATGAAAACATACGCAAAGGAATACTAAACGTTGCAACACGTCCATTTTGGTCCATCGGAGGTAAGACGAGCGTCGTCTCCATCTGAGAAAAATGTGAAGCACTTCGACAGACAATGTCTCGGTGATGGAAGAACAGAAATTTGCTTCAAAGTGGCGAATGTAGTGTAAAAATGTAAATAATGATCCTTGAATTTAATGCCTCATCTATATCATCTCCTGCTTCATGTCCTCCACCACCCCTACCTCTCTGCCCCTTACTCTTACTTGCTCCCTACCTTGTTCAAGGTCTGTCTGACGAACAACAACAATAACAAAATTACATTTATAGAGCGCTTTTCACGTCGCGAGGATGTCCCAAAGTGCTGGATAACCTCGCTGACTGCGCTTTCGGTTATCTTTCTCCTCCCAAGGAACTTTGGCTCCTCTCCCCAGCTCAGGTGCCAAACCAGTACTGTTAAGCACCTTGGGATGTACCTGCTGACATGAAAGGTGCAATATAATTGTAAATTTGTACAGTTTTGTAAAATATCTCACAGCATTTCGCAGCCAGTTTTTGGTAATTAGGATTGTTGGCCAGGGGAAACTATCACTCTTTCCAATTCGTATAATGGGTTCTTTAACGTTCGCCCGAATAGATAAGTTTCACGTAAACATTCTTTAACCTCTACAGTAAGTCCCCTATAGTCTTACTTTATTCCTTACCCCCCAAAAATATTAACCATCCAAAAAACTAGAAAGGATACTGCTTTAGCCATAGAGGAGGATTTTAAAGCAATTTGGATATTAAAGCACCTGCTGTCTAACGCCGAGTTATATCACAACATAATAAAAATAAACCTTACACCTTACATGTGACAAAGCGGCTTTCAAATCAGGAAGACATCTCAAAGCGCTTTACATGATTCACTGTAAAGTGTAGTGACTGTATAGTTTGTAGGCAAACACGGCAGCCACTTTGTGCAAGGCAACGTCCCACCATCAACCACAAAGCGAAAGAACATTAGAGAGATAAAGACAGAGCGAGATGACCAAATATCTCAAGGGAGGTTCGGATGAAGAAGGCCCTTTGGCCTCATTTGATCTCATCTTTCCAGATACTGATAATAATCCCTCAAGAAAAAAAAACCAATAATAATTTGGTCACTTCAACCCACGACTGTTTGTGGGACGTTGCTGTGCAAATTGGCTGCCGCGTTTTGCCCACAAAAAATGCAGTCAATTCACTTTAGTCTATTCTGTGAAGTGCTTTGAGACGTCTCAAAGACGTGAAAAGCACTATATCAAATTCACGAATTATTATTATTATTATGCCTACCCTACCTTCCTCCATTCGCAGCGTCAAGCTCTTGTTGTTGTTGGTTTCTTAACCACCTTAGCCTCAACTCTGCGGCCTGGCCAATGGACACACTGTTTCCTGAGCTGCTGCAGGTGGAAAGGGTTGGAGAGGAACATCACACAGCCAGGCTGAATATTGGCCACATGCGAATGGGTATTCAAGAGTTTAGTTGAACTGAAAGACGATGGGAGCGTTCAGGCACAGCTTTGCCTGAGACAGTTTGGTTGCTTTCTTTAGGGGTCAATTTCTACATGTTATATGGAAGCTGTGGGCTCGAGGAGCCAGCTGGCACCCTCTTATTCCATTCCACTTCCTGTTCCACCATATGGAAGAAAATTATTTTAGCTTTTAAATCCCACAGCACGGGCCGATAACTGCCGGGAGCGTTTGCACCACTTCAGACATTAGGGTTAGGCGCTTTCAAGGCAATAACCTCCGTCGGCTAAGTCACCTTCAAAACCGTTGCCCTCTTCCCTCTTCCCCACTAGATGTTGTATAACTTGCTGGGAGAGAGAGACCTC